TATAAAATCTTGGTGACAGTTATGCTACTATGTTAGGAAAACTTCCTTTTACTTAAATTTCTCTTTCGTTGTAAATAACGCTTATATATAAATAGCGCTAACTATATATTATTTACATTTTGTTTTTCACGTTGTTACTTGTTCTCAGTATTTTTATATGACTTTGTAACGTCTTAGGTGAGACACTCTATATATACAGCCGATGTTATCATCTGTATAATTACTCGGATATCAGGTCAGAGGCATAAATGAACATATAGCAGCCTATATCTTCGAGATAAGTATCTACTCGACCGACAACTTCTGCATATCGCACTTCACACATACACGACAGATTAATTGTTAAATTCCGAGTTGATGAGACAGACAGCTAAGAGGAAGGCATCGCGACCTTTGTCGTCGTATGTGTGAAGCAATTGTTGCCACATTGAACATTATTGTTCGCGCGCTCGCGTAAAGCGAAGCGTATCGGACTTTCGTCCGTCTTTGTGTATGAAAGTGGCGGTCGTTCGGAATGTTACACAAGCACGACTGTATCACGCGCTGTCGAAAGATACCAAACCCGGAAGAATACTAAAAAATGCAAACTTTTATCGTTACGTATGTATCAATCCACCACACGCGTCGTCCATGTCGTGTGAACAGTCGCTAAGTTTTGCGACATCTGCTTTATCTACGCGAAATCCTAATTTTATCATTAAGAGAAGATTCTAGTTTAGATAGCTTAAAAATAGAAAACTTTCGAGAATCTTTCCCGAAGAATTATTTTCTTTTCTATTTTTCGACTATTTAAATCAGTTATACGGAAGTTGTACAGTTGTCAAACTGTACGAAGAAGAATATCATTCTACTACTAACAAAAGCGATTACTCAATTTTCTTTGGAGAAATGATAATTATCTTCAACAAAGATCATATATGCAGGATGTCCCAGATTACCATTCTTAAACTTCGCGAAAGCGTAGAACGGATTAAGATGAATATAAAATCCCATACCGTTCTGCGATATTCGCAATAAATCTCGAGATATTAATTTAACAAATTGGTGAATGATCACACGCGATATGGTAGATGAGCTGTAGTGACGTCATCTACCATTGTATACTTATACATTAAGTCAAACTGAATAAAAAAGTCCTCTACCATTTTACAAATGACCACATAGATTTTTAGATATCAATTAAATAAAATTTGTGCATTACTGCGCACAATCATGTAACAATTTTCTTTTACGAATAATTTAAAATCTACGTGGTTATTTGCAAAATGATAAAGCGTTTTTTTATTTAATTTGATTTAAGATACAAGTACACAACAGCACACATTGCTACTACAGCTCACTTAACATATCGCGCGTGATCATTCACTAATCTTCTTTAATTAATATTTCGAGATTTATTATAAATATCGCAAAATGGTATAATGGGATCATACTCACCTTAATCCTTTAAGTCACGAATTTTCCTACATAACCTTTTTCTTTGTTCAATAGATATCCGGGGATTTTTGGAGTCGCTACTAAATTGAAGTCGATTATTAAAAATTGAAGATGGCGGATCCAATGTGGCAGACAACAATTTTAAAACTCCCTCCATTTCCGTGAAAATTAGTATCCGAGGATTTTTGGCGTCGCTAATCACGAATTCGAAATCACTTTTTTGAAATTCAAGTTATTCACAAATTCAATATTGCTCATTTACGAAAAGAAATAGAACTTATCCCGATTGTTGATATTTTAACTCATCATATTGAGTTGGCCATCTTAAATTTTTAAATTTTTGAGGTTGCATCATCATCTACTGCTCAAAAAACATCAATCAAGCCATTTTTTTCATAAGTTTATTTTGCAATATTTTTGGCAAATAAATTTTTTTTAAATACAATTTTT